GGAGACCGGTGGTCCTGGTTCGGGTCCTTCTAGACATATGGAGAGCTCAATATCTTCACGAGAGCATACACGTCGTTTGGTAAAGTACACTCTATTAGTATTTACTTATGTCATAACATATCATTTTTGGGCTTGTCATATTGTTTGTAATGTTTTTTTTAGGCAATAGAATGGGGATGCCCACCTATGAATTTTGAGTTGTTCCGGAGGACTCATAAGAAACATGATGGTTCATTCGTTGATATGCGCTCCTAACAAACACGAAGTTAGTATTTTTAAATTTTAAATATTAAATATAAAAATTTATTCTTAAATTTAATTTAATACTATAATGATGATAAGATTGAGTTAATGCAGGACCGCATGGAGCGGTTAATAAATGAGGAAGTCGAGGCTCGGAGGGAGGCGGAAACTTAGAGCCGAAGTTGACCGAATTCGTTATACTCGCATGCCGTCGGGGAAAATAAGAAAAGATTTTATAAGATAGGCATATAATCGATGCATTATGTGTCCGGTCGAGTGGCGACAGCTCCCTTTGTAACGTCGCAATACATGATTGATCCAGCTAGTGAACGACTTCGGATGGACTACGAGGCTATTAAGGAAGAGGTTATCAAGCTTAAGGAGACCATTTATAATATGAAGACTCAATAAGATTCCATGGCATCCTTACTAATGCAGCTAGCACAAACATCCGGATTGTCTATAGATCCGTCGATTACTCGACGAGTCTGTGGTCCTTCCACTCGACCTCCAGTTCAGCCTCTAGTTTATCCTCCAGTGCAACCACTCGCATAGAATGATGATGAGGATATGGGATTAGACGAGCAGGATGAGTGATGTAATAATCAGTCACTTTGTTTTCTAGAATGATTTTGTTAATGTTATTTTATTTTTCATATATACATGATTACTTATGATTGTTTATTATTAATTTTAATTATGAAATATTATGTTAATAATATTCGAAAATGTGATGGAATAGTTACGAAAATCGATGACGGATTTATTATCGAAATTTATGACGGATTACCGACGGACATTAACGACGGATTACTCGACTAATTAGCAACGGAATTTAGTGACGGATTAGTGATGAAATTTAATGATGGATTAGCAACGGATTAGCGATGAAATTTAGTGATGGATTAATTACGGCTTAGTGACGGCATTTAGTGATGGATTAGCGATGGACTTATTTTCAAAATTAGCGACGGATTAGCGACGAAATTATTTTCAAATGTAGCGATGGATTAGTGACGAATTTATTTTCAAAGTTAGTGACGAATTAGCGATGAATTTTTTTAAAATTAGCGATGGATTAGCGACGGATTAGGGTGCAATCCGAAGTTAATTTTAGCGACGGATTGATTGGGTAGTGACGGATTTTTTGTCACTAAATATAGCGACGGACATAATATTCCGTCGCTAAAATTTAACGACCATAAAATTAGTGGCGGAATTGTTTCGTTGCTATTCCGCCGCTATTTTTGGTTAGCGACGGAATTATTGTATTTAGCAACGGATTGTTTCGTTGCTAAAAGCTTTTTTTTTTTTTGTAGTGATTTTGTTGAGAATTTAATCTTACTCCATGTAAATTAGATATCATGAGTAGATAATTACATCAAATCTATATAATAATCAAGAGAAGAAAATAAATCAATCACAAGAGCACAACCACAAAACAATAAATTTATGTGGAAAATCCTTTCTATCATAGAAAAAAAATCATGGGACCAACTTTGAAATAATCCACTCCAATCAAGAAAATAATACAATCACTCAAGTTTTTCTAAGAACTTGAGAGGTAAAATATTGGTAATAATATAAGTTTTTCTCTAACTAAATTCGTCTCATAATGAGAACCTAGAATATGCGAAATATTTTTACAAAGTTTGATACTATGTGAGATTATCACTTTGAATATTATAATTCTCCGTAATTGTAGTATCTAAAAATCAATGCTAGAGAAAATCTCAATATTTTGTACATAAAAAATTATTTCTTTCTTTACATAGAATTCTTCAAAAGAAAAAAAAATTCCTTAATTTTTTTTCTATCTCTAATTGCTATCTTTGGCAACTATACTTTCATCTTTATGCATGTGTCAGATAAATAGAAAAAACAAAGTAAGATAACAAATTTTCCTTTCTAGTTTCACAATAGGCTTTTTTTTCTTTTCTTTTTTTTTTTTTTTTTTAACTTCACTTGTTTTTCTGATTAGTTCTTTTCCTAATCATTTTCTTATTTAATTTTTTAATGGGTTATGTTAAGACTGCCGGACCTTAAGCACATACCCAACAGTTTTAAATGGTTTAGTGTTTTTGTTGGAAGTTTTGTGTAGGGGGTAGCAAGCCAGCTTGAGAATCGGTAGTGTATCTGGGTGAGGGGTCGTGGGAGTAAAAAAACAATTCCTGTTTCTCACTAATTTCTGCCTTTTCCCCGAGGTGTCAAAATCTTGTATGTAAGTCTCCAAATCTCCCATCTGTTTTAGGTATTTCAACTCCTCTAAAGGGTCTTTCTGTCCACCAAATCTACAACACATGGCATCAACATACTCTGCCTAAGAGATTTCCCATACTTGTCATGAAATTTTGATGCCGAAACAAAGGCATCCAAATCCAGAAAGTAAGAGGCCAACTTAATCTTCTTAGATTCAGTAATTTCCTCAATCTCAAAATACTCATAACATTTATATAGCCATTGGAGGAACATTACTGCCATCTATAGTAGAAAAATCATGCATGTTTAAGCTTCCTTCCACAGGCGTGGCAGCTATTGTTAGTTGCAGGACAAGCATCATATTCTTCATCAACAACAAATGAGATTGTTCATCAACAACATTCATCTTGTTCTTAGATGAGTTGGCCTCTCCGGTTGGAGTTTGAATCTTCTACAGAAACTATTTTGCTGACATGACAAACCACAACTCACATCTTTGAACACGACAAAGGATCAGCGAAGGAATAGCGCTAACGTGGTGCAACAATTACAATTCAGTCCCATACCTTCAGCTTTTTTCACTTAGGTCATTATATCTATAATGTATTGAATAACAATCCTAAAATAATAATAATAAAAAAAAACTTTCAAATTGACTGAGAATTAAATAGCTGCAAATTAATGACATTCCTTTTATTTAACAAAAAAAAATTATATTAGTAATTGTAAATCTTTTATTCAACTTTAATGGAATTCCTATATATCATTGAACAAGAAAAAAAATTAGTAATTGTAAATCTTTTCTTCCTTGTCCTAGCACTGGACATCCAAACTATACATTAAAAGTGATAAGCGAAAATGTATTTTTCTTTGAAAAATAAATAAATTTACAATTTTTTTAATATATTCTGATTTGTTTTGATCTATAATTTTAGAATAATGATGTATTTGAAAGAATTTAAATTCCTATAGTAACATACAGCGAATTTTAATTTTAAATACGTAAATCAGTATGAATCCAATGGATAAACACAAAACAGAAGAAAAGGGTGGGGATTGGTTGCGGGGCGAGCATGCAAAAGCGAAAAACCACGCGCAAGAGACACATCTCAGCGGAAAGTAGCATTTAAAACACGTTTATTAATCTAGCTTGTCAACCAATCAAAAAGAGTCACGTAATCTCCGAATCGGAATAAGAATCGAAAGCGTTATTCCCACCTGTCGCGTCATTCTTGTTTGTGGTTACAATAATTAAAATAAGCGGCGAAACGATCCCGAGACTTTCTCTCTCAAAAAAACAAGAGAAAGGGTTTCTTCTTTTTCATTCGACGGTGCGTTGGTTGCTCTGCAATCTTTAAAGGTTAGAGAAACCAAAAACTCTTGTTTTGTTTTCGTTAATAATAATCTACTTTTTGCTGTTTTATAGTTCATGTTTTTGTTACTTTAATTTAAGGTTACGCTGTTGTTTTTTCTTGCCGTGATTTTATTGGAAGTTGTCAAGTTAGTAGTTAGGTTTTTGGCTTTGATTGTTTTGGCTTCTTAGCTTTGGTGATACCATACTAGCTTGTACCTTAAGTTTTCTGCTATACAAAAAGATCTAATACGGAAACGGAATTTTTTTTTTTTTTTGGTTCTTCGTCGTGCCTTGATATTGTATAGCTAACTACGTGCGTGTGTGTGTGTTAAATTTGGGTATATTAGCTGCAAAATTCAAAACTTTATTTGTTTAAGTTTGTGTTTGTGTTTATTTATTTGGAATTAATCTTCTTTTTTTTCAATCATCATCAAGATTTTTTATTTTTCTTCTACCAAAACCAAGTTTGTTAAATTTAAACATGGGTGGCAATAATTTCCTTTGTGTCTGTCTATGTTACTCTACTGTTAGGGAGGGTTGAGAAGAAGAAAAGTAGATTTGAGAAGATTGTCTTTTTAGTCATGGCCATGGGTTGCATCTAAATGTTGAACTTTCATTTGCTTTTTTACCATAAATTTCATTTTCCCAATTCCCTATAGGCAAAGAGAGACTTTAATTCCCCATAGATTTTATTTTAGTAATTGGTAACATTGACGGGTGAAATGTAAAAGTTTGATATTGAAATTGAATCATGATCCCTTAACTTATAAAAAAATAAAAAAAATAAAAAATAAATAAATTGGTTTGTCTGTAATCTATTGTATAATGAATCATATTAATAAATTGAGGGTCACATATCTGATTGCTGCTGATAGGTGGAACTGACTGTTTTCTCGCCCGGACTGCAGATTTGATATTGAATCTTCATGAATTCAACTAGTGCTGCTGCATCCACTGTTTCCTGTGAATCGGGAAACAAGAAGGACTTCCTTTTCTGGATTTTGGTTTGCTTACTACGAAGTTTCCTCGGAACTCCTATTGCATACGTGAACTTCCAGTTATTTAAGGCCATTGTCAGGTGTCCCTCTTCATCTGTCTTCTTCTTGCTCTCTTTTGGAGAGATCAACCTATAGTTGTTTGGTTTTTCCTTTTCAAGTTCATCTGCAGTAGACACTCCTCATTTGAATTTTGACATAAGCCCAAGATGGTTTCCTCTAAATTATGTGGTTTGACTGCAAAGCCTTTTCAGAATCAGTTGCTTCTTCCAGGGGGACAACCTGATGCTCTTTCATCTGATTGTGTTGAGTTTGATTTTTCTGATGTATTTGGTCCTGTTCCTGTCCAAGCCCCGTTAGAAGTCAGCTCTCAAAATTCTAAAAATTTGATCATTGGACCAAAAGCTAGTGAATCACTTTGCCATGATCCTGCAGTCATCAGCAGCCGCTCCCATTCTTTGGTAGGCCCCTCGAGTTATGTTAATAAGTCATTGAAGCTTAGTAAGCTTACCTTGCATGAGTCAGATGAGGATTCATTGGAACTCGTGGAAGGAGTTAGTGGAAAGGCAGAGAAAGAACTTATTAGATCTTGTGATTATACCGATTTGGAGAAATCTACTGGTGATGATGATGAGTATCCTTTGAAAGAACAATGTGTGGGACTTGAAGACTTTGAAGTCCTGAAGGTTGTTGGCCAGGGTGCTTTTGCAAAGGTGTATCAAGTGAGGAGGAGTGATACTTCTGAAATATATGCAATGAAGGTCATGAGGAAGGATAAGATAGTGGAGAAAAATCATGCTGAATACATGATATCTGAGAGAGACATACTGACAAAAGTGGATCATCCCTTCATTGTGCAGCTCAGATACTCGTTCCAAGTATGGATTACCTTTCAGTTGAATTTTTAGTTAGTTATCTTAAGCAGAAGCTTGGACTGCAATTAGTTTTGGTGATTTGCTTCTCATTTACAGGATTGATAAATTTCTTTCTGTGCCATGCAGACCAAATACAGACTGTACCTTGTCCTTGATTTTGTCAATGGCGGTCACCTTTTCTTTCAGCTTTATCGCCAAGGCTTGTTTAGGTATGGTGTAACAAGTGTATTCTGCGCTTGTTCTGTGACACCTTGGAACATTAAGATGGTTAATACGTGGGATTTGTTTTCTAATTTCTACAGGGAGGATGTAGCACGTATATACACAGCAGAAATTGTTTCTGCTGTTTCTCATCTTCATGCGGAAGGCATAATGCATAGGGATCTTAAACCTGAAAATATTCTTCTTGATGCAGATGGACATGTATGATTCTTCGACTTGTTTTCTTTCTTTCTCCCTCTGGATGTACGTGTTCACACATGCAAATGATAGTTCGTGTTTTTACCTTTAATCAATTAGATAACAAACTTACTTGTGCTGTGATGTGATGTCTTCCTTGTGCTTGATACCAGGTGATGTTAACTGATTTTGGCTTGGCAAAGCAGTTTGACGAAAATACAAGGTCAAACTCTATGTGTGGAACTTTGGAATATATGTCTCCTGAAATTGTTCTTGCAAAAGGTCACGATAAGGCTGCAGACTGGTGGAGCGTTGGAATCCTGCTTTATGAAATGCTCACTGGAAAGGTTAGTATTAATTTGTTGGCTGCACGATGTAATTAGTTTTCAGCTCAAACTTATAGTTCATCAATGTCAGAATTTCTGGATATGCCTATCTTAGTGCAAAGTTTATTCCACATGGGGATCAGATATTCTTGCCATATATGTTATCTTTTTCCAGCACATAAAATGAACTGAGTGCTTTTTGAACGTAAACATCATTTGATGACAAGCTGAACAATCAATTAAAAAAGAAAAATAGTGAAGGTCCTTTTTTTCTGCATGGTCTCTGAAGTGCCATTTATTGTATGAAAGTACAGTGAATATGGTGAATGCCTGATGAACATTTACTTTTTCTATGTCATGATGGTATCATGTTCTAAGAAATCATTTTTTTCTTGGAAGAAATGCAGTGTTCTAAACAGAAACAGCTTCTTAATAACCTTGTGCTTGCAGAGGCTCCAAGGAGAATAGTATCCCATCATGACATTAACAATACTTTTGCTACACAGGGATGATCTTAAAAACAAAATATCTGACAAATCATGTCATTAATGATTTAAGGTTGGGTGGATTGAAAATAAAATCATGCACCACCTTCCAATTCCATGGGATTTAATCTTTTGCTAGATTTTAGAGTTTCATTTGTCTGTGGGCTTCTCCTGTCTTTGGGAGATGGTTCTATTGATTGTTTCATGGTAACTAGTAGCAAGTTTAACCCTGTTTCCCTTAAGGTTTGATTGCTTGTGAATCTTTCATGTTCGTTCTTCTTTGGTGATTAAAATTAAGGAACCCAATTCTGCTCTCTCATTCATCAGGTTACTTTCAATATCAAACAAAACTTCAGGTTGTGTTAGACTGCTACATATGCTCATCTTTGGTTATTTTTCCCTGTTTTGCAGCCACCTTTTACTGGTGGAAACAGACAGAAAATTCAGCAAAAGATTATAAAGGATAAGGTTAAACTGCCAGCATATTTGTCAAGTGAAGCACATTCATTCTTAAAAGGGGTAAATTCACTTTCTCCTGAATCTTGCGTCCTTGCTTTGTAATTAAACCCGATTAAATTGGCATAAGGTAAGAGTGCTTTAAAGAGATCGTGATTGTGTCACTAGGAGCCTAAGTCTGCTGCTTTGGATTCTCTGACTTGCAAATCTGAGTTTTCAAATCTGTTTTAATACCTTGGACTGGAACCCCTGTTATATGACTGGGTATGATGACACTAAAGTAGAAAGAAAAAAATGCTATTGCTGCTGTAAGCAGACGCAGCAAAGATTGGAGTTTGATCTGTGGTATAATGATTTCTGGCCTCACCAGTATTATAAGAAAATGAAAATCTAAAACATGTTTTTCCTTTTCAGCTGCTGCAAAAAGAAAAAAGCAAACGCCTTGGTAGTGGACCAGGTGGCAGCGAGGAGATAAAACGCCACAAGTGGTTCAAGTCGATCAACTGGAAGAAATTGGAGGCCCGTGAAATTAGACCAAGTTTTCTCCCTGAAGTGGCAGGTAAGCACTGTGTTGCCAACTTTGAGGAGTGCTGGACTAGCATGCCAGTGCTAGATTCTCCAGCAGCTAGTCCAAAATCCTATGACAACCCTTTCGAGGGGTTCTCTTATGTGAGGCCAGCTGCTTCTTTTCTTCAGAGAAATGCGTGAAGTGCCATTCAGCCTTGAAACTACAGTCGTAAGAAATCTCTAAGAGATTCTATCTGAAAATGTTTGACAGTTGAATTAGCATTATTCTGCATAACCTTAGCACGACCTTTGTTTTTCATTTGTGGAGATGGCTAAATATTAAAATATCCTGTAATGTTTACCTTTTTTTATGTATCCAACTTTGCTCCTTTGAGAAATAACAAATAAAGTGACTAAGCGATTGAATGTCTTATTCAGTTATTGCTATAGATTAAGACAGCAAACTCTTTCAGGTTTGTGATTACGTTGTTCTTCTCTTTGTTGAGTTACAATTTGTGAAAGGTGCCAAATACACCATTATGTTAAAATCTGTATCTTTCGCTAAAAACGACCGAAAAGAAAGAGAATTCCATTTTGTGCATGAACCATCAAGGATGATTAAAGAATTCCATAAGAAATTCCATTGTGGGCAAGTCGACCAAAGTCTGATGAGTGAATGTTTAAACTTGTAGTACAGCTTTTCATTTCCTGTTGGATCTTTCAACAAGTATTAAGCTGCAGTCTCAGGATTCTCAGTCAGACTTTACATTTATTCCAGTAGTATGCAGCTGCAGTTTTCCACCATTTATACAATTACATTCTGGTGTCGTTGGAAAGGTTGGGAACCAGAATTAAAGAATTGGAATGACAATTAGCATTCTAATTCTAGTACTTTAGCTGCAGTTTTCCACCATTTATACAATTACATTCTGGTGTCGTTTGAAAGGTTAGGAACCAGAATTAAAGAATTGGAACGACAATTAGCATTCTAATTCTAATACTTTAGCTGCAGTTTTCCACCATTTATACAATTACATTCTGGTGTCGTTTGAAAGGTTAGGAACCAGAATTAAAGAATTGGAACGACAATTAGCATTCTAATTCTAATACTTTGTTCGAAATATTATTATGAAATTAGAATGAAATTTAAAAGTTTTTAATATTTAATTTTTAATATAAATAAAAATAATTTCATCAACTATAATAATAGTAAAAATGATAGAGGTATTGATGATGGTAACAGTATAATAATAATTATATATTTTAAAAAAATTACATCATTGTTATAAAAGGTCATAGTAAAAGAAGAGTAGAGGTAATGAAATAATAACAATAATAATACTAATAAAATTTTTTTTTTTTTTTTTACCACTACCATGATGGTATTAGTGGCAAAAGTAGTGATTGTAGTAAAAATAATTGATACACAATAAATAAAAGGTAATGTATCACTATTTTGAAAAAAAAAACACTCAATTTCATTTTTTGTTTTTATTCACTCTTTCTCATGGGAATAAATTAAGTATAATTTCTATTTTTTATTTTCTTTTTCACTTTATTTTTTCCAACCAAATACTTATAAATGAAAATAGAAGTTTCATTTCTATTTCTACAATTCTATTGCTTGTGCCAAACAATACCTTATAGTATTGACTTTCAGGAATAATAGCAAGGAATGTAACTAAAGCGTTGCAAGAAAATTATTTTCCTGCTAACTTTCTCCCCCTACAGTAATTCTAGGAATAATAAATCGTCTAGAATTTTGTATGTAAAATGGAAATATTTGTTGATGATGCAAAAGGATGTTGTGTATGGATATAATGGTTGGATGTAACCTCTATATATATCAACTATGAGCTAAGAACTTGTACGAGGAGCTAAGAGTCAAATGATGATTGATAAAATTAAAAATTAAATATTGAATCTGTTAAATATTGAATTTTAAATACTAAATAATTAAATACTAAATTTTAAGTTAATAAACTATTTAATATTAACTGAAAATTTAGTATCAGACAAAGCATAAGTATTTGATTCGTCAGATAAAAGCAATATTTAAGAGCATTTCAAATTGCAACCACGTAATTAGAACTTTATTCCACATTACGTACAGTAACATATTTGATATCCAAAACTATATATAGAAGGGCACACAAACACAAATACATTCTAATTAAAACTCACGTTACCAAGGATGATGCACCATGCATGCAAATCCTTTCCCCTTCCTTTATTGTCTTCGAACTAGAAGGAGCTTGCGAAAGGAATTAATACCTAAGAACTAAACCATTTCACTTTCTGGACCCGCATCGGTCCGATAGTTTCTACCACCAGTTACTTCTGCAGTTTTGCCCATCTCCTGGTCCTCTCCGGACAGTTCCTCAAGTGACTTCCCTTTTGTTTCTGGCACCAAGAAAGTGAAGAAAAACCCAATCAAATTTACAACAGAAAGACCAATAATTGCCTTCTTGATTCCATTTGAGTCTCCATTCTGTGTGTAGTACTGCACAACAAATGCACCAATTATAGCTCCTGCTTTTCCTGAGGCAGCCGAGATTCCATGACATGTTGAACGGAACCTTGCTGGAAACAGCTCTGCCGGAACTATGAAGGTCGTGCTGTTGGGCCCGAAGTTGGCAAAGAAGAAGGTAAGCCCGTAGAGAACTGTAAACATTATGGGGTGACCACCGCAGAAATCCTTTTTCGAACCTGGGCCACAAAACTCTTTCTCCCCTCGAAGATACCCATACTTGAATCCAAGAATTGCCATGAAAACAGACATCAGAAGGAAGCCACCAAGCTGGATTATGAACCTTCCGATCCTATCAACAAGGAACACACTAAACCAGTAACCAGGAACAATTGCAACGAGAGCGATTAAGGACATTGCTTTGGACAGATGGTACATCTCTTCTAATGCATTCATTGATGATGCCTTATTTATCAATCCAGCAGCTGGGTAGACATCTTTCTGGGTTAAATTGAGACTATAGAAGGCAATATCCAACAGGAACCAGGTGCTAGCTGTCCCAAGAAGTTGAGTCCCATGAGTTCTAAGAAATTCTTGAGAAAATAACCCATACGAAGAGTTGGGACTAACAGGAGCCTTGGAAGTTGCTTCGTCAATGGTAATATCCTGCTCAAGAACTTTGGCCATATCATTAGCAGCCTTCTTGTGGTTTCCTTCCACTAACGCAGTGTACCTAGCTGTTTCAGGCATCTTCATACGCCAATAATAAGTTAAAGCTGCTGGGACTGCACCAAACATGAGCACGATTCGCCAAGCAAAATCTGCTTGAGGCTGAGTTGATAGAACATTCCCTTTACTAAATGGAGGAGCTGGGAAAGCAGCCGCGAATGACTTGGAGACAATTGTGGATACAGCTCCCGCAAACAGTATCCCTACTCCTTGCATCGCAAAGACAGCTGCAACGAATGCTCCACGAGTTTTTTGATTGGCATATTCAGACATAATCACAGCTGAGAGAGGATAGTCTCCTCCGATGCCAAAACCAAGCCAGAAGCGGAAGAAGCAGAGACTACCAACCACACTTGTAGCTGTGGACCCAAAGGAAAAGCCAGAAGCAAGGGCACACCCCACCATAGTAACTAGAGTGATGCCATAAACTTTCTTCCTACCAAGTTTATCCCCAAGCCACCCGAAGAAGAGTTGCCCTGCTAGAGTTCCACATAAAGCAACCCCAGTTATCGCATTATTGATGTTTGTGGGAAGCTTACCCGGGGCATCTTTAGCTGGGTCATAGTAGTATAGGCGGCCGAGAAGCTTAGTCACAGCGGTGATGCAAAACAGATCATAAGCATCAGTGAAAAATCCCATACCAGCTATCACAATTGCCTTAAAATGGTAGAGTTGGGTCTTGGCATTGTCAAGAGCTGAAAAGACTGCTCGACTTCCGTCCGACATGCTTGGAGTAATATTAATTTTCTCACAATCTGATGATTTGAGAAATGGAGTAGATGTGTTTTGTGATGCAAAGGGAGTCAATGCATAATATAAGGCAGGAACTTAAGGGTAACACAATGGCAGTTTTTGTCCTGTGCGCACAAGAAATTCCCATTGTTGCTAACGTTTTTTCCTTTAGAAAACCAAACCGTCATTACCAAGACATTAGTAAATTGACATCAAGATGAAGAAAGAGAGAGAAACTCGCCTCAGTTATTGTCTTAAGATTCTTTATTCCTAGGACATCTGTACTTTGCAATATTTTCTTGTAAGTTAATGTCCTTAGCTCAGCTATTGTCAGGGATGCCTACTAATTTAAGGATGTTACGCATATAATTAAGTTTTGTGCAGAAGCATATTTCATTTCTTTCTCAGCTGTTTTTTTTTTTTTTTTTTTTTTTTTTTTGGATTGCTCGCCTGGTTGATATTTGTCTATTTTGCGTCTATGGTTTCTCCCAAGTATTAATGGATATTCTTATAGGGATATGCTAGCATATGCTAATACAATATAGGTGAATGAATTTTTACTGTGAGATGGAGAAAACAAGGAGTAATGGAAGATGGGCCTTCTTTCTCTGAAATTTCACTGGCTTTCACTGTCTGCTCCCTGGCATCCGACTCTCTCATGTGTGCATCCGCCGTTTGCTTTTCAATGTATGTGGTTCTTCGGATAAAGCACCAATCAATGTGTTACAAACTTCAATTAAGATCATCTTTAGGTAGAAAGTTACCTGCAACTTCCACAGACAATTCTTACGATGATGAGTTATGTGCAGATAAATCCAACCCTCCTGAAGGTGATTTATTTATAGTTACTTGTGCTTCTCATGGGTTGTCAGAAGATTTCCCTTGGATAATGGTTTAATGCTTTGGCAAACCGCATTGTTTCTTCAAGAAATATCAACATGGGGGGTAAGAACTTAATATTGAATTGGCAATGCGAAGATTTTAGACATCATGAAAGATTTTCAGAGATACAGCTTTTCTTGTCCTGTATGTTGGTGTGCCTCTTACCTTTGCAGATTTAGCAAATTAAGCAAGTCAAGTTCAGAAAATGGTCAATTAGAAATTCATTAGATAGGTAGGGAGGTTCTTATGGAAGCTTACAAAACATCCAGTCTCTCCTAACCCTAAGTATATATTTCTGTTTTGATTTGTCCTTGTTGGTAATTTAAACTGTATAATGGTATGGAAAAGTGAAAAGAAGACATTGCTAAGAGCTTGCCTCTGATATCATTAATCACAATTTTCATCTTAAATGTGAACAGTTCATCATTTTGCTAAATTGACAAGGATCAAGTTACTCTGTTTTTGTAATGCCCAAGGTAGGATCACAAAGGTTAGAACTCGAATCCAAGCCAAACAAGTCTATCTCTGCTTCCTGTATAAATGATTGAATTCAACATTTCCCTGGCCCCTTTGATTTGAACAACAGATGCCTGAACCAGTAGCAGCTGATGGGAAAAGGAAGGATGGATGTAATTCTTGCAGACAGTTAGACATAGATGGTGAGTGCATATTACCATGGAAAAGTTGAATTGCATTTGAAAATTCATGCAATAGGGGAACTCTTAGGATCTTAGTAACATCTTCATGCATGGATACATTTCAAGTTTTTACTCTCAGCAGGTCTGGAACTAACTGAACGTTAAATTTGATTACATTTAATTGGATCATCATATTTTGATATGGTTCTAAATAAAATCATTGTTTTGAGCAACAAGCAAATCTTGTTGGAATTAATTTTGAAATCTATAATAATGCAGAAGTGAGTTTTCCAATGAGTCCCTGTGGTAGATATTCGAGTTTCGGCACATCAATAATGAGTTTATCCTCAAATCTCTAGAATTATCCTCAGACTAGTGTCAATATTGTCATGAAAGGATTGTAATCCAAGTCCATGAGGCTTCCTCTCTCCCTCTGTGCCTCTGCCACTCATCACTGCCTGAATTTGAGCAGTTGAAATTCTGGATTTTTCTTTTTGTAACGCCGTAATATAACGGCAAATAACGGCATTACGTAACAATAATACCGTTATTTGCCATTATCTGTGTGAAACGGTGTCGGGGCACCCGTAATATCCAATAACATTAACGGAGTACTCCGTTACCATTATATACCGTTACGTAGTTTTTTAAAACCATGCATATGAGAGTAATAATATAATAGAGATGTTTTCCATCATGCTCCCCCTCCTCCCAGTTTCGAACAAATCCACATGTTCAGGCACAATGCACCACGATATCCGTCAACTTGTGCAGCTTTTCTTTCGTTCTTTACCTTCTCTAAACACCCTAGTGAGTACACAAATTTTCCTTGTCTGAAAAACCAATGCTCTCATACCTCACGTATAAACATCAGATTTTTCAAAATTGATATACTTGTACCTGGCATATGTTGCTGCCACAACTACATGGTAACAGAAATTCTGTTTTTGGACTAAGGAATAAGAGTCAATTACGTGATTTAGACACAAGATTAACTACAGCAGCAGTCTTTCTCTGGAGCTCTGCCTTGTTGCCCCCAACAAGTTTGTCAACTTGTCGCCCATCTTTAAGGAAGAAGAATGTTGGAGTTGCTTTAATTTCCCATGAAGTACTCAACTCCTGCATCCAATAAGATAGCACATTTCACTTACAAATATGTTCTGAAATTCATCTCTGTCAATTGAACACACTAAATTTTTTGATCAGGCAAACAATATATTGCTATGTGTTGATCATATATGGGAACCTGATGGTGACAATACATGCAGAAATTCTATATTGCTATGAATTATTACAACTTATTGCTATAATTTCATTACCATGCCAAATGTCACACTTACTGCGAGCTCATCAACGTCTACTGTTAGAAACATGACGGAGGGGTATTTATCTGAAAGCTCGCAATAGGCTTCTGCGATTGTCTTACATGGAGCACACCACAATGCACTGAAATTTACGACTGCCTGTTGGACAGGAAGGGGGGAAATTACCAAAGTGAGAAATAGGCAGTTTGAAGTGAGTAAAACATATCGTTGTAAATGAGAGAAATTTCTAGTCTATGTATGAATACTAGTCCACAGTAGCCAAATGAATTTTACACTTTGTAGTGACTGAAAGTTAGGAAATGTGGGGAGAGGGAAAATGGAGAGAAGGCAAACATAAAAGGTAGCAAAGCATTAAATACTTACAATCTTTCCATCCCTACTTGCTTCTGATACTTTTTCATTCCATTTCTCCGTAGTAGTTATAAGGTGCACATTTCTACTGACAAATTCTTTACGATAGTTCTCTTTGTTAACACTTTCGTCATCATCTCCATGACAACTACTACAACAATGGCAGGCCTGCGAGAGTTATTTTCAATATGTTAAATGATATATGGAGGATTATAGACCATATCTAAATGTGGCTCACCATGGACGCTATCATTCAAAGCATGATTAGTTGACAAATGGTTCGAAACCGACGAGTCAAGTTTCTTTAAAAAAGAAATAACGTTTGATTTAAACCCTGGTAAGCTGAAGTTTAAAGACTTCGATGTATTTTAAAGTGATGATATGTAGGTCTAGGACAGCAGTAGGTGGTTCGGATATCAGAATACTCCTGTAAAGCATCTCATAAATGAAGACTGCACAAAAATTCAAAGAAGACAGTCTTTCTGCAATGTCTGTTAGTATTCCAGATCCTGGCATAGAAAAGAACTTGCCTCTTCAGCAGATATAATATACCCAATGTGCAATTATGTGTCTCCCTGTGAGATCAACCTACTACCTAGAATCCTATGCAGCTGCAGCCAACTTATTTTGTTATCTAACCAGTAACCAAAAAAGTTGGCTGAAATACCTGAATGATGCAATGAATAGATCTTTGTTTTTGTTGGTCATATAGACTAGCTAGAAGACCTACTGGGATCAAGATTATCTTTAAGATTATTTCGGGTTTACGAAAAATCCATATTAAATCTGTGGCATTCTTGACAAATACTTGGAGCTGTCAACTGACACCAACAGCATAGTTTTCATTAAGAAACATGACGTTGTGGATTGTCAACCCTATAACCATGTGTCATTTGAAAGGAAATAGTAAACCTACTGAGAAATTTACAGTGACTGGACTTGGAAAAGAAGAAGAAAAGTCGAGGTTTCAAAAGGTAACCACAACACTCTTCGAATACAGAACCTAATCAGGCTCCATTCAACAAGAACAAAGCTGAGGATCAAGATATAGCAAGAGCATCACAGAATGAAAATCACTTAAGCAAGAAAATCAGGAGGAGAGAGAAGCATCATTCTTTTCAGCTTGTTTTTAAAGAGACTCACCTTGGGCCAACAATGTCCCATTACACCCTGGTGATGGAATTGCAATTACAGCAGGTCCCTAAAAGAGACTATTCATCAGATCAGTTGCACTTATTTTTCTGTTTTTGCTTACGAGTAAAACAGGCAAGGCATTAGAGATTCATGGCATAAGTTTTCTTTATGTATAATCTTTTTAACCAAAAGGATAAAATCAAAGTTTCATTAATTTTGGCTTGAAATGCAAAACAAAATCAACCTAATCTCCTGCGCATTTCATTATCTTATACAGTTTTATACCTATATTTTCTTTCTCAAGCTAAAAGTTTCTCCCTTTCCTCTTTCCCCTTATGACATTACCAACGACAAGATTAGAGCATCCAAAGCTATGTGAAAAAATAACTAATTAAGTCTTCTTTTTCTTGCTAAGACAGCCAAACCATACAAATTAGATTGATACATTTCAACTAAACCAGATTGTTTCTTATAAGCAATAACAATTGGAAAGTACAGCATTGGGTTAATTTGTATGAAATTTGCTCATTACATGCATAAAAAAGATCATTTCTTGTGTAAATTATTATCCGAAGATTCAAATGATGAAGAAGAAACGAATGAAACAGCTAGAGCACTCCAAACAAATAAAAGAAAGGAGGCCAGAAGAGAAGTTTTACCTTTGGATCCAATAGATTCTGATGTGTAGTGCAATCCAAGATTTCACCTGAAATTGTGTCATTAAAGCCTTGTCAGAATTAGATAAGACGGGCAGTCAAAGATCCCCTAAAACTTCAAGAGAGAGAAATTTCATGAAAATAAATGTCCTTCCCTTCAGGAGGAGTATGGCCATTCAAGTTTCCACCTTTGAGTTGTGAGCTGTAACGACTTATTCTACTATAACCAACCAATAAACAAAGGACAGCTAGTACATCAATGCCCTCAGTGACGAGACCTTTGCTGGCCTTCTATTTCTATCCTACCACTTCCTATTTTTGGTCATGCCGTTAGTTACCAAAGTGAATGTTAATATGCAATTTGCATTTACAAAGTAAAGCCTTGCCTCACCCCAATGAAATGCATTAATCTCAGACATCTCGAAAATTTCCTGTCATCTTTTTTCATGTTCTTTGTGTGAGAACTCAAAGAGATTGTAAAGGTTTTTCTTTTATTATTTATATCGTAAGAGTTACAGAGTTTATATATATATCATGAGTACAGCTTGGTGGTTATAGGAGATAACTACTAAAGGGATACAGGGATAAGTGTACAACTGGATATGGATAATGATAAGGCTTTCTAAGCTAATCACGGTGATAATGCTAATCCGTTAACACCCCCCCCCCACAAGCCGTTGGACACTCCACGAGGCGAAGCTTGTCACGTAGGAAAAGGTAGCGAGTAATGGACAAGGGCTTGGTGAAGATATCACCAATCCGATCAGCAATAGAAATAAAACGCACCTCAAGCTTGCCGGATGCTATTTGCTTTCTAACAAAGTGATAGTCCAACTCAATGTGTTTGGTTCTAGCATGAAGGATGGGATTGGCAGTGAGATAGATGGCACCAATATTGTCACACCGGAGAACGACTTTAGTAGGACTCGAGAAACCAAGTTCCCGCAACAAGGAAGTAATCCACATTAATTCAACAGTGGTGTTAGCAATTGCCTTGTATTCACTTTCGCAGAAGATCGGGCAATTGTAGGTTGTTTCTTTGCCATCCAAGAAATCAAAGATTTTCCCAAATAAATGTCATATCCATTTGTTGAACGCCTATCATCCGGCAACCACCCTAATCGCCGTCACTAAAGTAATGAAGTTGCATAGTGGAATTTTTGGCAAGAAAAAGTCCCTGTAAGTCGTATCCTTCAAGTACCCGAGTAAGCGTTTTACCCCTTTCCGAGTGTTTATCGATTGGGCAATGCATAAATTGACAGAGTTTGTTGACGAGAGAAGGCTATATCCGGACGTGTCATGGTTAGATATTGCAAAGCCCCTACCACTTGTCTATATTGATCCCCATTAGAGAGTAACGTGCCCGAGGATTTTGAGAGAGTTGGTGTAACAACCATAGGAGTTAGACAAGCCTTTGCCCGATCTATGTTGGTACGATGGAGGAGATCCCGAATATACTTTTGTCGTGTGAGTAATAAGCCCGAAGGAAGATGATGGACAGCAATGCCAAGGAAGTAATGCAAGCGACCCATGTCACTGGATAGGGAACTCCTTTTGCATAGTGATGAGAAACCGATCAACAAGTTTAGAGGAAGAACCCGTGATAATTATATCATCAACATAGCACAACAAAAATAACTTATGAGGTCCAAGTATTCAAAATAAATAAGGAAATATCCGCCTTTGAAGCAGAAAAGCCAACTTTGTGCAAGAAAGAACTCAAGTGATGAAACCATGCTCCGGGAGCCCGCTGCGACCATACAAGTGACTCCGTGCAAACGGCAAACAAATGAAGGTTTATCAATATCCACAATCCCTCGTGGTCGCTCCATGAAAATTTCAGCATCGAGGGTGCCATGCAAGAAAGCATTGGAGACATCCAATTGTTTCATAGTGCCATCCATTCATGGAAGCAAGTGCAAGAACAATGCGAATGGAGGTAGCTTTAACAACGGGACTAAAGGTATCATGGAAGTCAATTCCAGCATTGTTGGGTGTAGCCTTTGGCAACAAGACGAGCCTTGTACTCGTCAATCTTCCCATCAGCTAGTTCGTTTTATTCGAAATATCCATTTGTTACCTACCACATTCCTATCCGGAGGTCTTGGAACCAAAGTCCATGTGTTATTGGTGAGGAGAGCACGTATCTCATCCGTCATAACGATACCGCCATTCTTTGTAAGGTTTGGCTTGGGTAAAATTTAATGGTTCAATATCAAGAAAGTTGGGTTTGGATGAATCTTTGGTTATAGAATAGGCATGTTTTTTTGGTTTTGGATTCCGGCGTAGGGTCATGGGATGAGTTCGTTGTGGAGCCGGGTTTGGACGTTGGGGAGAAGAAATAATAACGGGAGCTTTATGTGTGGTATTATCAGCAGCAACTATAATCTCTCTTGGTGAGGAGATAGTTGTAGACAAAGACAAAGACTTTTGGGAGCCGGGATGAGATGATGTTGTGGTGTTTGTATGGGATGATGACACGGATAGGATTGAGATGGGATGTGGTTGGTGTGTTTGATCTTGAGAAGAAGATAAGGATGGAGTAAGTAACAAATTATGAGAAGAGTTAGAGACCATACCTGCTGCTGGCACCGAGATAGAAGGGACTATAGTGGTCACATGTAGCCATGGGTTGTTGACAGGAGTGTCTACCGAAGGTGAATGCCGTGATGGATTTTGAAAAGGAAACGTTGTTTCAACAAATTTTGCATGGCGAGCAATATAAATGCGGCCACTCTCAATGTCTAAACAACGAGTGTCCACTATGAGATGAGGCATGTCCTAGATATACACACATTTTATCGCGATATGCAAATTTATGACAATTGTAAGGCCTTAAAAGTGGAAATATAGCACACCCAAATATTTTAAAATTAGTATAGCTTGGATTTTGTTGAAGTAATAATTGAAAAGGACAATAATGGTGAAGGGAAACGAGAGGGTAAAGAGTTGATAAGTGTAACACTAGTATTAAAGGCAAATGTCTAATATTTTAAGGGAACATTTGCATGAGCTAATAATGTCAAACCAAGTATCAACTATGTGTCGAATTTTACGTTCAACGAACCCCGTTCGTTCATGAGTATATGGGCAAGCCAATTTATGAATGATTCCTTTGTCTTTGAAATGATGACGTAATTTTTGATATTCCCCTCCAAAATCCGAATGAAAAATTTTTAGTTTTGCATTGAATTGGTGCTCGACCATAGATTGAAAATTAAGAAAAGTGGTAGGAACATCACTCTTATTTTTTAGAGAATAAATCCAGGTATACTTGGTAAAATCATCAATAAACAAAACAAAATATCTATGACCGGATGAAGATAATTCGAGTGCGGGACCCCAAACATCCGAGTGGACAACCTCAAATGGCACCTTACTTTTGTGATCAATAGGAGCTAAAGACAATCTAGACATTTTTCCTAAAGGACATGAAAGACACGTACCTGGGTGATTTTGAAGAGTAAGGAAGATTATTCGTATGAAGTACTCTAGACACTCGTTCGATGTTGAGGATGGCCAAGACGAGCATGCCAATCACCAAAGGAGACCTTTTCACCAACCAATGCTTGTTTCGAGTAACGGTGGAAACACATACAATCCATTGCTACTCGGGCCTTGCGACAGGATTTCCTTGGTCACCCGATCCTTAATCAAGAAATAAGATGGCCAAAATTCAAAATAGCAAGAATTGTCAGCGATAAATTTTTGGACAAAAAGAAGATTTTTAGTAATTTTTGGAACTAACAATACATCATTGAGAAAAAAAATTTTGTTGGTGTAGAATAGACAGTACGACCGAGTGAGTTATGTGCAAACCTTGTCCATTACCCACATGGATTTGGTCACTTCCTAGATAGTCATTGGCATGGCTCGAGTTGGACAAATCTGGTGTGATATGGTGGGTAGCTCCAATATCGGGGTACCAAGGTAAGAGTGGATCTTGGTGCTGGAATGCTTCGTTGCGAATGCATAGGAGTGGAAGTAGAAGGCTTACGATGAGAGGTGTTTCCGGTCCATGCTAAATTAGCTTCGTGCATTTGGAATCCGTCGAGGAGCATAACGTTGGCGACACCTATCAGTCGTGTGGTTATGAAAACCACAGATTTGGCAAGGACCTTTGTTTCTATGATTTCCATAATTGATGGAGACAAGTATTGTGATGGGTATTTGTATTTGAGGAGGCTGATTGGTGGTGGGGAACGGAAGGTTTGTATGGTCGAAAGGGTGGCTTATAGGCAATGTTAGCTAAGGGTCCTTCTTTAGTGCTATTTAGGAGAATTTCGTGAGCAAGTAGCCGACCATGCAATTCATGGAAGGAAACGAGTTCGAGTCGAAGGTTGAGGGCAGTAATGATTGCATGAAAGTCACCGCCAATATTACGATATATTATGGCATTGAACTCAACAACAAACACGGTCCTTCCGGCGGCAGTAAGTTCATCGACAAGGGCTTTCGCTTTGTGAAGATATTGAGATATAGTCAAGTCATTTTTCTTTAGCTCTTGCAATTCAATGTTAAGTTGCAACTCGTTCGGTTCGAGATACGGAACCAAATGCATTTGTTAATGCATTCCACACTTGATAAGAAGATTGTAGGCCAATAACATATGGAAAAACCTCCTCGGATAATGAAGAGAGTATCCATGATAAGAGAAGTTGATCCTTTTGAAACCATGCTTCATATGTAGGATTTGACGAGATTCGAGTTTCATCGGTGGGGGAGGTTATAGTTTTTGGAGGAGCGAGTTAGGGTACCATCAATATAACCCGTGAGATGTTGATAGTTTAGGAGAGGAAGAAATTGTGTCTTCCGGGCTAGGTAATTTCTAGATGAGAGTTTAACAAAAAGGTATGATGAGTGGAGGTTTGAGTGCTCGTTTAGATTTGGTGATGCCGGGGTAATTTGAGAGTTATTGTTTGTTGGATTTGTCGACATGGTGAAACTCAAATACCGATACTCGGATACCGATACTAAATAAGAGGCTCGATACCATGTGAGAACTCAAGGAGATTGTAAAGGTTTTTCTTTTATTATTTATATCGTAAGAGTTACGGAGTTTATATATATATCATAAGTACAGACTGGTGGTTATAGGAGATAACTACTAAAGGGATACGGGGATAAGTGTACAGCTGGATATGGATAATGATAAGGCTTTCTAAGCTAATCACACCGATAATGCTAATCCGTTAACACTTTGATTTCAAGGATTAGCTGGTGTGAAGCATTTCTTTTCTATTAAGTTGATTCAACCTGAAATTGGCTGATATTTGCAGGGGTTCAGTGGCAAGTGGCAACACGATTGATACTCTGTAGTGTTATGTTGCATTTCAGCATAGCATAAGGAGAAGCTTCAGTTTGATGGATTCCGCAGATTAGTTAAAGCTTATCAGCTAGCTTATAATAGTTGGAAAAGGAGCTATGACGCATCAAATTAAGGGACAGGAAGCTTATTTTTTCAAAGATTAACGCTAACAACCTTCTACAGGATTCGAGTAGTACAATTTATGGCGAAAAATGGATACATTAACAGGTTAAGGAATAAGGAAAGGCTTAGCATGTCTGCATGATGCATTCATGGATATTGCCTTACTGTATCAGACAGCATCTGATATATCAATTCCAACGTGCGAAAAATTCTAAAGCTCTCATGGGGTTTGAACATTAGACTCCGCCTCGGAGGATGACCGATTCTTTGAGTCAGAATGTTGAATTTCCTCTATCATCCTAACAACATCATCAATTTTCGGACGCATATCCGGTGCTTTTGTCACACAAGCCAGCGCAATCTGAAGCATCTGCACCATTTCCTCTTCAATATTTTGGTGCCTCACTAGCTCAACATCAAAAACCTCTGCGGTCCATTCTTCTCTGACAACAGACCGCACCCATCTTGGAAGATCAACCACACTGTCATGCCCTGGAGCTTGGAGTGGGGCTTTCCCAGTCAGCATTTCGAGGAGGAGCACCCCAAAACTATAAACATCAGATTTCTGAGTGACTTTGCGTGTTTCGATCACCTCCGGGGCACGGTATCCAATGGTTCGATACACAGTTGCAGGGAAGTTCATTAGAGGAGCCAAGCCAACATCAGAGACGCACCCATCAAGATCTGGGGTGAGGAGTACATTGGAGGCCTTGATGTTACCATGGGAAAATTTGGCACCTCCCTCGGAATGAATGCGAGCAATACCCCTGGCAGTTCCAAGGCAGATCTTCACTCTCGCATTCCAATCCAGTGGAGTACTACCTTCAGCCCCATTGCCTATTATTTCCATGCGAAAGAACATGAATTTATATTAGAGACAATCAATAAGACAAAGTGCATTCAAAATTGTCCTAGTGACAGACATAGCAAAGTTGAACTGAGCTGACAAGTTTAATTAATACAAATGTCATTGCAATGGTGCGGATTACAGCACATCAATCAACCAATTTACTTCATTTTAAATAGACAGAGAAGTTCCACCCTTCCATTTAAATTCTGCACCATATGACAATTGCATGGAGCTGGTCTGAGGCCAATTGCCACATTGTTTGAGATTGTTACCTGGTTCTAAACTAATGTGGTAATAAAGTGATTCATCAGTATGTTAGAACTAAAGGTTTTTCCAAGAATAATAAAACCACCATTGAGAGCGATTCGAACAAAAAAGTGCATTTGTCTGCAGCAATCAGCACAAATCAAAAGTATAGATGGGTATAGTTAGCTAAACTTGAACATGAGGAACTTTATAATACCATCGCTGCTTTTTCTGGCTGTTAATGACACATTTTCATGCTGTTAATGACACCCAATTACTGAATTGATTCTGGGGGGATTCATACAACGTCAATTAACTTATTTGGTGTTTTTTTCACTAATTTAACAAAGTTTTCTTCTACAAAAGCTATACAAACTTCTCTACAAGTGCTTTAACCTCTTATGGTTTATGTCATTATGTACAAGTAACAACTCACTAAATCTAAAGAGCCTGCATGACTACTTTGTGCTAGACTGCCAGAAACAGAACTTGATGCAGAACTGTTGCATTATAGATGAAGTTCCTAACCCTAAGCTGTTTTCATTTTGAAAAGCATGTTTCTAATAGAACCAAACACAGCTCCTAAAACTCGCTGGCTGAAGTGTAAACCATTTTTTGGTTCTCATTAAACTAGGGGACATCGGTCTTGCTTTTTTCTCAAGCATTTCATTACTAGGTGAAAACTAATTTCTGTGGATAAAATCCCCAGTAAGCAACTTTCGATCCACCTCGCACAAATTTCTAATGAAAATAAAGTGGAGGAAAGCAAAACAGAACTTGTTCATTATAATTGAACTAAAAGAAAGCTTGCCATGAAGGAGTGCAGATAAGCTGCCTGCTGGCATGTAGTTGTAAACTAGAAGCTTCTCATCTTTCGAGTAGTAATAAGCACGGAGTGGCACAATATTAGGGTGCTGTCCAACTCTCCCTATAACCTCCATCTGTTGCTCAAATTCCTTCTTTCCAGCAGCAACTTCCTTCAACCTTTTCACCACCACTGATGTCCCGTCCTCCATGACTGCCTTGTAGGCTGTTCCATAACTCCCTTTCCCAAGTACTTCAGCCGAAGCCCTCAACAAATCCTCAAGATCAAAGCTATAAGAACAGCCTTCGAAGAAGAAAAGTTTGTTCTTCTCAGCCTCTTGCACGCCACTCCCAAAATCCTTAGGCTTCTCACCCTCAACCTTCCCTCTCAACACTGTGTTTCCTACCCCATCTTTTCTTTTCAAGAAGCAAACAAAGAAAACCAGAATTATGAGAAACAGCACCGCTGATCCCCCAATTGCTATAGCAATTATAGAATTTGAACCGAGTTTCTTGTTGGAAGCAGTGTGAGATTGGGGCTTTGTTAGTGGGTTTAGAGAGTCATTTGGGGAAGGAGAAGGGGAAGAGGAGATTTTGGGGCAACGCTTGAGAGGCAGTCCACATAAAAGAGAGTTCCCAATGAACGAATAATAGGAGAACTTCTGGAAAGATGATGGAATTGTACCATTGAAGTAGTTAAAGCTCAGATTTAAAGCCTTGAGTTTTGGAAGGTTGATATAGGGTATGCCTCCAGAGATGGAATTGTTTTGGAGGTATAATACAGTGAGCTGTGTCAGATTCTGCAAGGTGAGTGGAATGCTGCCGGTGAAGGAGTTAAAGGAAAGATCCAAGACAGTGAGTGGAAGGGAGAGCAAGGCAGGGAAGACACCTGAGAAGTTATTATGTTGGAGATATAGGTACCGAAGGGAAGGAAGGGAAGGGATATCAGAAGGAAGCTTTCCATTGAGGCTATTGGATCGGAGACTTAGAATCTTAAGAGAATTAAGTCTCCCTATAGTGTTGGCTGGGATATGGCCAAACAGTCCAACACCTGGAAGACGGACAGCGATCACTTGGGTTCCATTTATGTTGCAGGTAATTCCAACCCAGGAGGTGCAAACTGAGGTAGAGGCATTCCAATTGAGTTTCCGGATGTGTGGGACGACAGCAGCAAAGTCAAGAAGCGCTTGTCTGTCAGAATTCAGGTCAGCAATAACCTGGGGAACAGTAGGAAGTATGAAGAAAAGGAAAGCAATTGTGGAAATAGAGGACTTGAGCTTCATTGATAGTTGATCAGTTTGAAAATGAACTACGCATATGTCTGACTTCAGCAGCTCCTGGTGCTCTCCTGGTTCAGTGAGTAAAGAAGAACATAGATAAAAAGTTTAGCCGAACATGGTTCTGTGGAAATGTGGAGGTTACTGAGATTGCTAACCACAACAGTGGATTACTCTAATGTGGCGTTGAATTTACTTTAGAACAAAAAGAGAAAAACAATAAGGTGCTCTTGTTTACTTTTTTATATTGGGAAAGCAAAGCTTACTTACTAGAGGAAGCACATGTCAAAAGCTAGGTGGTGATAGAGAATCCAATAAAGAAAAGTTTGATGTAAAGAGAAAGCGAAAAGTTAAATTCTGCTTTGTTTTGTTAGAGAAAAGGCTTTCCGCAAAGAAATTAAAGTAGTCTTTTTTTTCTAATTAGATGTATTGAGAAAGTAGGAAACAGATGCCACAGAAATAGAATCTCACTTCATGCTTCTTCCTTTGAGCTATATGGCTGTGTAAAGGAAGGAAGAACACAGGAAGTAACCATAGAAACTTCAAAAACAAGCAAATAATTAATATATGCATTTGGATGTTAAAGAAAGCATGCTTGTTATCAGCTACAAAACACATCTCCAAAGTTAGCAAGTAACAAACAAATATTATGGAGATAGATAGAGACTTACATCATGGAAACATGACAAATTCCCATCTAATAATTTCTGCCTTCTGTATCCAATACCTGACAGAAAGTTGGAAAACAAAAAGCTTCCCTGAAATCAGTTCCTGCAAAAAGAAGAAAAACCAAATAAAGGGGCAATACATAGAATAAGATAATCAAGTGTTTTTCAGTTGAACTCCAGTTTTTTTAAAAAAAAAAAAAAAAAGAAAAGAAAGCATACAGATGCACTCTTGGCCATCAACAAGACAACCGACAGTGTGTTTGTCTTTCTAATTAGGAATTAACAATTTGAAAATGCTTGCAAAAGTACTAGGACTGAAGCCTGTATATGCTATTCATTTCTTTCTTTTCAGTCATTTAAAAAACCATGCTAGACTTCATCGAAACATGCTTGGTCCATTTTTTGGAATACAACTGTGTTCTGCTATTCATGCATATATTGACAGTGACACAGCAAGCATTTGAAGTCCAATACATCTTGATATTAAGAGGAAATGTATCCTTAAATTACCCAGGAAAAAGTCTCACTAAACAGCTAAACGAATTTGTAGAGCTCACATTCACCACAACCCACTTCTCAGCTACTCAAGAAACTGTAACCTTTTCTTCTGTTATCCTGTACGTGTAAGAGTGACAGAGAGAGAGAGAAAGAGAGAAAAGGAGGAGGGGTGATAAGGAAAGAAATCTGTAGATTTAATATCAATTGAAAGTCATCTTCAATCTCCCATGTTTGACAGAAAACTGGGAACACCTTAAAGGGCTGTTCAGCCAACTAACAAGCCATACTCTATTAATGTCCATCTTACAGTTAAAATATAAAAACACTGAAAACATAAGAGAAATTGTTACTATTTGTTAACTTTTCCCTAGAGGGAAAATCTTTAGAAGCACTCGCATAGTTAAAAAGTCATCATGTTCTACCAAAGTGAATACAGAGTAGCTAGGGTAAGCTGCAGGTTTGTTGCAATGTCATTTTCCTGTCTTTAGATTTTAGCAGTTTCGTCACAACTAACTCAATGATGGCAAAGAATGTTAGTCAAACTTTTATCATATTTGACACAGGGAACGGATTCAAGACTGCCTCGAGCTCACCAAGTTACAGCTAACACTAGATTTTGCTTCTCCTCCATTGGCACATATAGGCCAAGGGTGAATCCAGTCGACAGAAGATCATGAATAATTAAGCATGAGCTCTTAAGTTGTCACCCTTTAAGAGAATGTTTAAAGCGTATTTGTTTGCCATTAGCTGACAATATATTATCATAATGATCGTAATAATAAATTCCCACTGTGGTTCCAAGTACATTATGATGAATTTGAATTTTCTGGAAAAGGAAATGATGATTTTAAGCATGGGGAGATTGTCATACATTATGACTTGTTTTGACTCGATGCTCAACGTCAAAACTAACTTCAAACTGGAACTCACATGGTAGGGACGACCTTGCCTTCTTTTCCTGACAACGGAAAGGGAGGGGGTCCTTTCCTTAATGATAAGATCTTGCCTCTAAAACAGCCCAATAACATATGGTTTAATGCTGAAACAGATATAGATGGCTGGAAATTTAATAAACCGTATTGTCTTGCTAGTTGGGTGTCGTTTTCCAACTACTTAATTGATGAGTACAAGACTCAAAAGAGTCATGAAGCGAACTGAGGACAGCTTAAACAAACTGGTCCTGTTTAGACAGGTTCTTGAGAGACTAATCCACAATGGACCAAGTGAAGTTCCACTAAAGGTCCATGCCATGGTAGTTGGCTGTTGGCATCAAGAAATGAATCCTACCTACGTTCCTCACAGACATCATGGCAGGCTGTCATGACAATAGCAACCACAAACATGAAGCAACTTCTTCTGTGTTTTAGATATAAACATCGTAGGGAAAGGAGAAGGAATTTAATGAAGACACGCTAAAAGCTAAGAACATACGCTTCGCTAGTTGAGGCCATAACCCATATATGAAGATGCAAAATTGCTTACAATGCTAGATGCTTTTATGAGCTTAAACTAATGTGGAGGCTTTCACGTGCTTGAAAATCCAGAAATGATAAAAGTGCTGCTATTATGCAGTGGTATTGTCCTAACTCATAAATACCGATCAAGCATCAGCAACTGTACCCCAGATATTGGTAATAAACATCAACCATGCCATGAATCAGCCTCCAAGTATCCAGTTCCAGACTGGCAAGCAGATTTTTCACAGAACTTATAGCTTCGAAGTTCGAAACAAGACTGTAAAATTAACAATGGTCCAGTGGCACCTAAACATGCAACATGCTTTTAAACCAACGTAAGATGTGCTAAACTACAAACGGAAGTGTACACCATGAGCATAAATAAACATGCACAGGCAACAGATATCTCTGGTCTTCAGTACCGAAAACACAGCAATACAGGACTACATCTACGTACCATAGCAGACCATCTTAGAATAATTTTAGAGCATAAACAAAAATTGTAAATTATTGCCAAGCAAAGTAGATTGTCAAATACGGCAAGGAAAACAATCCATGTCAGAAAACTGCCTCCTGTGTGAAGCACTAACTCAGTCGTATGCTTTTATTGCCTCGGTTGGGCCATCTCAACTTCAATAGTACAAACATTTTTCAAATTTCTCAAGATGACTCATTAACAGTCTAAGAGAACTTTCCAAAAACTGTGATACAAGTCATGATGTCCATATATCAAGCCTTGGGCCTCAATTAAAAAATAAAAAAGGCTCCAGGGAAAAGAAAAAACAAATGAATGGAAGGGACATGAACATCATTTTATTAAACCAACACTAGGAGCCACCTTTTTCAAGTTTCTCAATTTCCTCATGGTGCTTTCTTTCAGCTTCCTGAAGTTCCCTCTCTGCATCCTCCTCTTCCTCGATTTGGTCAAGAGCATCAAACTCCTTCGTTGCTGCCATTGCTTTCACCACAGGATCTCTCAGCACTGATATCAATCCACCACCAACCTTGTACTCTTCTTCATCCCCAATTAGAAATAATCGCTGATCAGGTCCTGATGCCATGGGAATGTCGACAGCCAATAACCTCATATCATACTGCATAGAAAGGATTAAGCTGTTCAATTATCTTTACCCAAATGTAAATTTTCTTTTGGGGAAAAAGAGGTAAGTGACAGCTCTAAGATGCTTGCATTTCAGAGATGTGCAGAAGCAGGATAACATCACATCAGAAGGTGTTGCCAATAACAAGTTTTAACTTTTGAATTGATAGTAATAGACATCAATCCTCTCACCTTTACCTTTCCCTATCTCTCGCAAAGACCGCAATTTGCTCTACTTAAGAGAAGCTCAATTTATGGTTTATGAGAAGCAAATGACTGAAAGAATCATTTATATTGACTCCAAGTTTTCTTTTCTGAAAAAAGTTCTATTGCCTCATCAGATCTGAAAAAGAAAGTGATCATACCTGGCCTTTTTTCTTCTTAACTTCAACACTGACTAGACCTTTTCTCTCAGAACCTTGTATTGGGAAGATGAGAAAACACCGCTTGCTCCTAACGGTTGGCTTGAAGTTCTTCAGTGTAAGCCCACCTCCTGACATCACATAGGCTCTTAATTCTGTTCCTGTAAGAGGAGCACCCATAACCTCAAGAATCCCAGCTGAGGTATTCAGCCTTGTCATGGCCATTCTATAAACTTTATCAGGATTGATTGTAAATCTTGAGCGGATATACAGGCCCTATAGCAGTCACAAACAAACAAATGGAAATATGTAAGGTAATCCATGTTTTTGCCACATCAACACAATCAACAATAGTTCATGGATAAACTGTAATGGAATCTGAACTTTAAATATTTGGAAAATCAATAATATAGAAAGACTCAAGAACTTCTGATTAAGTATGCACCATTTACTTTTAATTGTGACACTTAATGATGGCAAAAGAATGATAATTTCAACTTGTTTTAAATATAGCATAACACTACGAAGGCTGAGAATGCTTGAGGTCTGAAACATGACCAGCAGCAGAATCTGCATTCTACAGGAATGCTAGCTGCTAGTTCTGGGGAAGCAATTATATGGCTGCTGCCAGCTGTTAGAATTTTGGGTAGCCTAATCACCAGCAAGTAGGGTAATTCAGTGATCAACAGGGCCATTAGAGCTCTAAGATGATGACTGCAACCTTATTTAAGAAGTATCTCTTAAAGTTAATAGCTGTCTCTAGGGAAAAAAAAAACATGACCACAAAAAATTATGGTAGCCTACTTGGAGCCATGTAATGCATCTGGATTAGCTCATTGAAGTTTTGAAGTATCTGGTCTCACAGTCTTGCTTAATAAAAGTAAAATGTGTGAGACTACCAAGGAATTAGATGCCTAGGTAATAAGCAAAGTTGACTGAGTCTATCAAAGGAGTCTTATCAAGTCATGGTTGACATGCTATATCTTTAACAAATTTTCTCTTTTTGCTAGTGAGATATGCATTGAGCTTGGCTCCCTTTTATAAGTTCCAAGTCCTTTTGGTGTGGTCATCAATTTCGATTTTCTCATTTCCTCCGTATTTGCATATGTGTCATTACATATAAAAACTTGTGAACATGATCCAAGCCTTGGTTTTTGTAGTCACCAGTCTGGCACATTTTTAAACCATTTGAAATGTGAAGGAAAAATTCCTAATGCTACTCTCTCCTACAAATGACATGGGCAGGAAGAAGGAAGGCAAGAGAGCAAGAAAATAAGGAATCAAAAACCACAATAAAGGAGACTTAAAATGGACAGAAATGATCCAACCTCAAAAGCCACAAAAAAAAAAAAAAAACGACCCTCATTCAAGACAATAACCGTTTAGCCTTCACTACATATATAAAAAAACATTTGTGTGCTTGTCTAGTTAGCTCATTCCCCAAGACTAGGATTTCCTATGCACCTCAACATAAACACTCCCACATATAAACTTAAGCAGGATTAGACAGTTTCAAAACTTGACTCCTATATCCTAGGCACCTAAACATTAGCAGTATATACACTTAAATTGCACTAGATAGCTTCAATACTTGGACTTCGTAAAAGTAGGATTATATAGCTTCAGCACTTAGGTAGGACCAGAAAGTTTCAGCATAAATATTCAAAACTTGACCCAGTCAGTCTAGATAAGCACTGGAACACAGATTACTGTAGTCGAGATATTAATTTGTACAAGATTGGAGTCTCATTCTTAGACCTATAATCATCACCTTTGATCGCTGCATCTACATTTGAGGTGTGACACCTCTCAGCATTCCCTTCCTTTTAGTGAATGCAATGTAAATTGGCTCTACTTTTGCCACAATCACCATTGATCCATAAGCAAACAACATTCCACATCTATGAAGTTAAAAACAAAGCACTTATGCCAAACTATGTTAATAGCAATGTGATTGGGAATACATTGTTGGAAAAGGCACTACCATGACAATAACAAGAGCACTCATCTCACCCATATCTTGCCGGTACTACAAATAACAATCTATATATTCCACAACTCAACGCATATAAACAATTCATCACATTTAGGAATATCGTAAAGTCAAGATAAATTTTATGAGTAGGCTCGCCATCAATAATCCTAAAGCAGACATCACTCATCTTTGATCGAAAATAAATTCATTGCCCAAATAGAGATAACAAAGCACATAAAAACAATCAGAGAAACAACTCACAGAAAAAGCAACGATGGCAGACGAAAGAGCCAGAAAGCCATACTTAGCCATGCCTTCAGATAGACTAACAAAAGTATTAGCAATCCCAAACATAATCCTCCAAAGCAAAGCGCAAAATATCACTCCTCCTGCCCCAATCAAAAACAAGGAATTCCTCTTTAAAAAGGCATCAATTTGCAACCCTAAAGCTTCACGGTACCTTGAGAAAGCAGTGGTAACAGCCGTAGCCGGCTTCTCAAAAACCTGTTTCGCAAAATTCCCATCAACCCTTTTCCCCAAATCTAAAGAACCCTTGAAAGAAAACTGTCTCACCCCATAAAAAAAACTCCCTTTCTTGGAAAATGATGAATTGGGTTTTGTAAAAGAGAGAAATTGAGATAAACCCAGATTAGAAGAAGAAGTTTTTGAAGCAAAACATGGGATTTGGGAGTTCAAAGAAGTGAAATTTGAGGAGCCATTTGAGGAAGGTCGAGTAAATGAGGTAGCAATTCTAGAGGCAAGTGAAGGAGTGGTTAAAGGTAAGGGCTTGGAGTTAGAAACATGATTGTAGTGAAGTCTGAGAAGACCTTGGATGATTCTTGGCGACTGTTTTGACATTGTTGGTCGGATTAGATTCAAAGATGACACAAACTCGGTTTGTTGAAAAAACAAAAGAAAAAAAGGTTTGAAAGAAACTAGAAATCAGAAAATAAGCAAAGAGGGGAGGTGGTTTGATTTGGTTAACTGTGGAAGGAAATTAAAACATAGTGTCTTTTGTGACATGAGTAGTATTGCTCGAAATGTTTTCCTTCTTTTATTCATGTCTGCAACCACTAAGAAGCTGAGGAGAGTTTCTCCTCGTTCGAGGTTCTTGGGGAGAAGGCAACGATTTCTATTGCTTTGTTAATGATGTTCTTCGTTGGGTCAACAGTCAGCCACAGGGGCTCCCTCCACCATAATATTTGTTTAGGGACCGTTTGGTACTTATCTAGGTTTTTCGTTTTTTATATATTTATTATTATTATTATTTGAGAAATAAGTTGTTGCTTCTAATTTTTTGGAAAAAAAAAAAACCGCACATTATATCAAATGAATGTTTAGTAATTTATATTTTGTCTTCTCTAAAAATTTGAGAAAAAATCACTAATTTAATGAAAAATTGATTAAGAAAACTAGTTATAGATAAAATTAAAATTTATGAGACTAAATAATCAGTTTTTAAAAGAAAAAGATTAATAAATATTACATAAAAAAAAATGTACACAATTCCAAGAGCAAAAACTTGGCATACTTCAAATGGCAAAGTCGATCCTCAGGGGACCTCATTCCCAAAGGTCCACAGGAACTGCCACTTTTCTAAGCATGTAAAGCTTCCCAGCAAATGACAGCCATTGGCTTCAAGCCTTCAATCTCTCAACAGCCAGGAAAGCAAATCCATACCAATCAGTGCTAAAATATTCTATATGCTGACATAACGGCAATTGCTATCAATATAGAGGGTGAAGAAGCATTCTTCGAGAGATAATAAAGCATACCAATTGCAGTAGATTGCATGATGATTCACAAACAAGCTATCGAAAACAAAACATTAGAGGCACCAAAAGAATCTACTTTTACTGTCAAAAAGCATGCAACAACTAAAGATGATATATAAGTCTGAGATATGTGGAATTTCGAATAACAATAAGCCCTAAACAAAAAACCTCTTTAACAATGGTAGAACAACGAAGACTTTGAGAGTTAATATTATGATTTATAAAAATAATAATCAACTAATTAAATAAAATGAGTGTAAATAGTAAGAAGCATGAGAGAAAAAAGTTTAATTCTTACAAGATTAACCTCAAAGTGAAAGAAAGATTGATGAATTAAAATCTAAATAAATAAATTTTTAAGTGTTGTATGGTAAATGAATAGGAGAGATTTGATAGAAGGAAGAGAGAGTTCATGAGTTTTTTAAAATATTAAAAGGTTTTGTTTCCTCTTAGAATAATGTGAAATTGATATCTATAGTGAAATGAAAATGGTTTTTGATTGTTAAAATCATGTTAAGTTATTTATATTTGACACAAGATTGATTTTTTGTAATATTTTCTTAAATATGAAATAGATTTTTTGTTAACTCTTAAAAAATTTTAATGGTTCGTGTAATGGTATAATATTTGAGAAGGGTTATTGTAATTTACCTTAATGTTTTCAATAGAACCTTTAGGACTAGGTTATATGCTTTAGAATTATTTTGTATGTTGGTTCAACTTGAAGAAAAATGAGCTGGAAGCATTTTATTTTAAGCATATTTTTTGGGTTTGGCATGTTGTTCGAGCCTCATATCCATTGTCTTAAAAATGTGATAAACTTAGGGTTTTAAGCCCAAGCCTTAGAAATTTTAGGATTTGTTTTATTTTGAATGTGATTGGCATAGAAGCCATAAGCTCAAAACCCACTTTTAAATTTAGTTCACCATCCTTAAATTGTTCATCTATTTATCGGATTAGTTATTTGGATTAGGTCTAATAGGCCCATCACGGACCTAAAGCGAGTGAGTGGAGCTTAAAGTCTCATTTTCCCTTTGAATTTAAACAGGATCAAGCCCAAAAAAGATGTCCCACCTAAGTCAAGGTCGAGGCGCGTTTAAGAGTGAAAATGAGGACGGACCTTCCTTTAAGCTCAAATCTTTAATCACCTAAAAATAACTTAGGATTGTAAGTTCGAATCTTAGTAAATAAAATGAAAAAAAAAAAAAAAAGGAATTTGCTCTATTACCATAACAAAGTTATGGACAATTTATATAGGTTTACAAACTAGTTGGGATATGAGATTCGGAAAAAATAAAGGTAAAATAAGATTTTAAAACCGTAATCCAATTAAATTCGAAACATCAATATATCGATCCCGGTAACGTTCAACTTATCGGATCAATCGAGTTACTCGTTGCAAAGTCCTTGGTAGGTTTGAACTACAAATGTTTATCGAGAGGTAAATCACCGCATAGATTAGATGGTAAATTATTATTAGCACACGTGCTCTCTCTTAGCTTACTTCAATTGTTGTTTGACTATTTCCTTTTTTTTAATTTATTCCTCATGTTGTTTTTCCTTTATTTATTGGTTATTACTCGATTTGTTAAATGATACTCCTATGATAAAGGAGTCTTTTTCGAAACCTTCATGTATTTAAGCTTAGGCTTTTCATTCAATAAAGCACTTTTACCTACCTCACGCACAAATCGGCCATCACATTCAATGGTCTCCATCACTCGGCAACCTTCGGTTCTCAATGCCGATAACACAAACACCAATAACCATGCCATGCGAGTTTAACCTCTCTTCACGAGTTGCCTATTAAATTACAAGATAACTCTAATTTTTATACCCGAAAGACCCAATTAACGTTGCTTCTCGATGGCGATGAACTAACTAGGCATCTCGATGGTTCTACACCTTGCCCAACTAAGACAATCACTCACAACAATATAGCTAAAATCAACCTAGTGTATCACCTCTAGGTTCATCAAGATCACCTCATTCGCTAAGCAATGATGGTCTCCGTTGACAATACCACTCGCGTCCACCATCACTAGCTCGTCCAATGTCGAGAAAGCATAGACTTTTCTACACACCACCTATGCTAATAAAAGTCACACCTCGATCTATAGCTTTCGGGATCAACTTAGTCCCATCACCAAAGAAGACAAGAGTGTCTCCGAATATCTCCATCGAGTCCGCACCATTGCCGACGAGCTTGTCGCTAAAGGCTCTCTAGTGGTCGAGCGGAACTAACGATCAAAATTCTCAATGAACTTGGTCTTGATTTTCATGAAGTATCGGCGTCGATCCATAACTATAGTATTTCGATTGAATATCTCAAGCTTTACGAAAAGCTCCTTAACCATGAAATCTTTCTCCGTCATCGAGGACGGTAGGTTTCATCACCAATAATGATCGTCGTCGCAAACGGGACCAACAACATGATGGCCCATCGCTACAATTGGAATTCCCGTCGTTTTCCCAACAACAATAAAGGCATCTCTCCGGTATGGCGTCCCAACAAGCAGTACAATTAGCAACCTCAATGACACCCATAAAATCCTAATAGCATCAACAATGCTCGTTCAATGTCACTGTGCAATCGACTCGATCATGTTGCCTCGATCCGCTACACCAAGTCTCATAATCATCTTAAGGCTAAGGTAAACTTCATCATTGGCTATTAGGCATCTAGAACCCTATGGATTCTAGATACCGATACCTAGCATCACATTACCACCAAGCCACATAATATGCCCGAATACAACGAGCATTGAGGAAGTGGCAATGAGAGATGGTAACAAAATCCCAATTACTTACAATGGTTTAACTCGGTTATATACATCTAACACTCGCTTTTCATCTATCCAATACTCTATGTGCCCTTCAAATTAAACGTAATTTAATTTTAGTTTCTAATTTTTGTAAAGATAACCCAACGTCTATGGAATTTTTTCTTATGATTTTCTTGTTAAGGATTTGGCAATGCGGACAATACCGGTGCACGATCGGAGTAGACACGGGTTGTACGAGTGGCTTACTTGTTCCTTCACCAACTTCCCAATAAGCTCACATAGCCTCTCCAAATGTCTCCATTGAAACTTGACATCACGAGACTAGGACATCCTTATGCTAGAGTTTTAAAATTTATTTTAAATAATTTTTTATTCTTATTTCTCGCACGAGACAAATTTACTTTTTGTAATTTGTGTTTATCAAATAAATCTCATCGACAACTATTTGCATGACTTACTTTGTCAAGTTCCAAACCTCTTCAAACCATTTTTAGTGATTTATGGGGACCGTCCCCTGCACAAAAAATTATATCATTACAGATTTGTTGATCACTACACGAAATACACTTGGATTTACACTTTACCAAGAAAAAGTGAGGTCAAAGAAATTTTTCTAAAATTTCATCCTTTAATGGAAAAACATTTCACTTATTGAATATTATCCTTTTACACTAACGGAGGTAGTGGGTTTTAAATTCCTAATTCATGGTATAAAACATCTAATTACTCCCTCATAAACTCCGAAAAAGTCGCTCTTGCTGAACGTCATCACCAACACATCATAGAAACAGTAAGAACATTACTATATGAAGCCTCTCTTCTATCCAATCTTTGGTCATTTGCTTGTCGTCATGTAATATATCTCATAAATTGTCTACCAACCTCCATTTTAAACCATAGTTCTCCTTTTGAAATGCTATTCCAAGAAAAACCAGATTACCATTCCTTAAAAATCTTTGAGTGCCTTTGTTATCCATGGCTCAAGCCATATTCCTAGAACAAGCTTAAACCAAGATCGACACCTTATGTTTACTTAGGCTTCTCTCTTACTCACCATTGTCATCAATGTTTTGACCCTCTCAAGTCTAAAGTTTATTTATCCCGTGACGTGATTTTTGTAGAAACCGTGCTTCCCTTCAAAACCTTATTTTCAAGTATTTCAAATAAATTTAAAAACCCTAGCATGGGATGACTTATCACAAATTAACCAACACCAAGCCAACCAACGTTAAATAACCCACCTCCATATATAACCAACCCAATTTCGCATTTGCCCAATCTAATTCCCGTAGCTCCA